CCTAGAGGCCGTGGTCCACACCAAGCCTAGAGGCCGTGGTCCACACCAAGCCTAGAGGCCGTGGTCCACACCAAGCCAAGAGACCACCACACTATGTCCGAGCTGAGGGTGGGGAATCTGAGTCCACACTGAGGCTGGGCTGTCCAAGTCCATGCCCATGCTGAAGCTGAGAGCTCTAAACTGACAAGAAAAAGGAACAAAACACCCAAGGGGTGGGGGGAACGGGAGGGAAAGAAACAGATGGAGCAGATGAGCTCTGGCTGGAGAGTCCTATTTTGCTGCCATCTTGAAAGAAGCGTCATCTCGGCTTTTTGCAGGCGTTCCCCAAGATGGTGTCCTAAACCCAACCATATTCAGCTGCTTTACCAATGACCTTCCCTCCATCAGAGTCGGAAGAAGGGATGCTTGCTGATTTGGCTAATGTTCACCATTTGCAGTTGCTTGGATGCTGAAGCAGTCAGTGTTCATGTCCAGTGAGTCTTGCACAATTTCCAGGTTTGTACTGATAAAGGCAAGTGATGTTTGCCTAGCACTTGTGTGGCACAATGACCATATCCAACAGGAGAGAATCTAAACATTTGCCCTTGACATTCAATGGCGTTATCATCACTGAATTTCTCATCATCAACACCCCAGGCATTACCTTTGACCAGAAACTAAACTGGACCAGCCGTATAAACACTGGCTACTGGAGCAGGTCAGAGGCTCAGAATCTTGTCATCCACAAGGCACGAGTTAGCAGTGTTTTGGAATACTCTCCACGTACCTGAATGAATGCAGATCCAACAGGAATCAAAGAACAGGACAAAGTATCCTGCTTGATTGATGCTCCATCCACTATCCTGAACATTCATTTCCTTCCCTCTCGCCACACAGTGACAGCAATGTGTTTCGTGTACAAGATGCACTGCAGTAACTCTCAGACTCCTTTCAAGCCTCTACCTTTTACTTCCAATCAGGACGAGGGCAGCAAGTGGACGGGAACACCACCTGCATTTGCCACCCCCAACCGCACACCAGCCTGACTTGAAACTCAATTGCCATTCCATTGGGTCAAAATTCTGGAACTCCGTTCCTGATAGCACTGTGTTCCGACAGCTCAACAACAGCAGCAGTTCAAGAAGGTAGCTTACCACATCTTTTCAAAGGCAGTCCAGGGATGGCAATAAATATTGGCCTAGCCAGCAACGCCCACATCCTGTGAACAAATTTTTTTTAAAAATGAAATTGATGAGCAGATAATCTGTTTCTGGTGGTCTGGTTGTGCGATAAATATTAACCCAGAATTGCAGAAGAATTTTCCTGTTACACTTTGAATAGTGTTCTGGGAATTGGTGCACTCATCTGAGGTGGTTAAAGACAGCTATCTGCTTACCTGCAGCTTAGTAACCCTTCAGAATATCAACTCAGGTTGTCCTCCAGTTGCTGAGTCAAAGCTGGACTCCAGTCTTGTAATTCAGGAGTGTGTGCAAATAAAATTTGAGAATATTGTGCAATGAAAGCCTTTCGATTGAACGTGTCATCACTTTGAGTTTTCACCATTTGAATTTACATTTTTTAAGTGAGTTTCGACATAGTTGAGATTAATGCTTTTGGTTACCATAATTTTACACATTTTTAAAGTTATTGTTATTACAAATTTATTTCT